TTAGGGTTGCCAACTCCAGCTTGGCAAATTCCTGGAGATTTGGGGGTAATGCCTGGGGAAGGGAAAGCTTAGAGAGAGAAGGGAGCTCAGTGGGGATGTGGTGCCATATATTCTGTCCTCTGAATCCGCCATTTACTCGAGATCAGTTGTGGGAAACCTCCAAGCCATACTTGGAAGTTGGCAACCATAGGTAAAATCCTCAGGGAGCCCACTGTACAGCCCCCAAGATTTCACAGACAAAATTAGCGACATTTGTGTAGCATCTCCATTTTCATAAAGATAATTTCCATAAAGATCCTTCCCTGAGGCTGAAATTGTCTGCCTTTCATCCATTTAAAAGTTAGAAGGGTGTATGTTCTTTTTGTAAAGATTCTACAGTAGGCTACCAATGGTTCAAAATACAACTAACAAGGTGCAGGACTATGGTTGTTTCCCCTCATTTTCACTGGGTTTTCCCTCCATTGGGTTTTCTTTGTTGTTCTGCATTGATTTTCCTCCCTTTAGTGCTCAGTTCATTTTCTGGTCACTCTTTCATCTTTCCTTGGGTTTTCTGAGAGTGCCTTTGTGCTGATTTTCCCCTTGTTTCTCTTCCAAGCTGAAGGTAATTCAAAAGTACAGATTCCCTTGGATTTCCCCCCACCCTTTTGCTACCCCTCAAAGGTCATTCTCCTGCCCACATCGAGGACATTCTGCCCACTCTGCACCTTCCGACCAAAACCCTGCAGCAAAAACCTACCGAGGTGGTTCTTTCCGAAAGGCCGCATCAATGCCAGCCGTGGGATCGCCAGTGCATCCCCGGTCCCCGGCCGAACTGTGCATGTTCAGACATGTGCAGTTCGGCAGCCTCCCACTCCCAATCGTCTCTTCCTCCCCGGCATCTGATCGTGCCGGGGAGCAATGGCGCCACAGCTCAGGGGATCTGTGGGATCCCGCCGTGGCGTCTCTATTTTGGTGCGGCTTTTAAAAGCCGCACTTTGGCCCGTTTTTTTCCTGCCGTGTGGCAGGGACCTTGGATCACTGAATTAAAAAAAAAATGGGGGAAAGTTAAAAAGGAGCTGCATGAGGTTTAGTTCCCTGCTGGTATTGACTTGAAAGGGAGATTGGAGAGGAGGCAAACAGCAGCATTCTCAGTGCAAAAAAAAGGGGGGATTTCAATGCATGCAAACAAAATAAAACTGGGGATCATCAGCACAGAATGAAATTGACATGAGATGTAAAGAGACAGAGAGATAGACTGGGATGGGAAGTCTAAAGCTTTGAAAACATTTTTTCCCCTTTCATGCTTTAGTGAACAAAGTGGGGGGGGGACCATTTTGGCAGAAGCCTGACATTAAAATGGCGGCTGAACCACATGAACCTTCTGCAAACCGCCAAACTTAAGAATCACTTGGGATCGATCCATTTAGAGGAGAAAGTGTAAGCCACACAGGACATTCTCTAATAAACTGCCAAGATTACAACCAGTGTGCAGGATCAAATTAGAGAATCACAAAGAGAAAATCAGGCAAATTTGCAAGGAAGGGAAGGAAATTAGCATTGCTATGCAGCTGCGCTAGGGCACTGGTAAAAATCCACATTCCCATTTTTTTTCTCAATTTAGTGGCACAAAACTAAAGCTCTTTAGAGCTTCTGCTAGAGGAATCCTCACTCATATAAATTGAAGCCCTGTGCAAAGCATGGTGGAGTTGCAGCTAACTTTGCACAGGTGCCTGCGTGTGCACACACACACAAACACGTTGCAAGCAACCACAGCTTGCAATGCTAGTGTCAGTGGGTTCTACCATGCATTCTGTACACTCAACATGTTCCCCCATATTATGAGATCATGTGACTCCCATTTTTCACAGTGGCTGATAACACAGTGGAGAACCCCCTAGTGCTTGGCAATATGGAAAATGGGGCTTTGCAGCTGCTTGTCAGTTTCATTAAAAGTCTGGTCATTTTCAACAGTGTGTTTTGCCCCTTGCCATGGGTTCCTTTCTCTTCCCTTTTCATTCAATGAACTAACACTAAAATGCATATGCAAAACTTGAACCACGAAGATTTAAATAGAAGGTGCTTGCTGGATCCTACTGTGCAGCTATGATAGGGCAATTGCATAAATTAAAAAACAAACTTTGGACACACACACCCCATTAAAAGTGACATTCCACCCCAATTTAGAAAAGTGCATTTTTAAAATTGTAGCTGCAGAATAAATACACTGGAGGAAAAAGATTGGTGCATAAGACAGGCACAGAATCCAAAGTCAAGATTAAAGGTTTACTGCTCTGAAAATATGCAGTAAAATGTGCATGTGTAATGGGCCTATGATATAGGAAACGGACAGTGTTATCCTAAGAACACCTCTTCTGGGAGTAAATCCCATTGAAGAAAGTAGGATTTACTTCTGAGTAGATGTGCTTAGGCTTGCTCCCTATGGTTCAAATACGGTAATTCCTTAGACATAAAGGTTACTGAACCAGGCTGTTGTGAACATGGAGGGCGGAGTGGAGAAGGGAAAAGGAAATGCAAGCTTGAAACTTAACCTAGTGAGGTGCTTCCATGTCTATGTCATCCCTCCCCCAAAGTAATAAAGTAAAATCCAGTAACTTTTTCTTCTCCAGTAGGTTTTTCAGTGCCCCATTTAGATCAGTACCACTATTTTCTCTAAGATTAGCCTGTGTACTCTAGGCCTGAGTGATGCTCCTAGTGGATACACACCTCTCAACATTTTACAGATGAGAACAGGGAAACTCCTGGACACAATGGAGTGGGACTGTGGGTGAAATGTGGCCACTTAGCATCATGGCCTGCTAGGCAAGGCCAACACAAGCCAGAGTCTAATGTGCCACCAAAAAAGCTTAAAGTAAAGCTGAATGCAAGTCCAGATAGCAAAGACTTGAAGCATGTCTGATATACAAAAATTGCACTACACATAGAAGGCATTGGTCCAGTTTTACAGCTGAGGAACACTAAAGCACAGTAGGGTTGCCAGGTCATGCCAGGTCATGCCTGGCAACTGGCAGGAGGATCGGGGTTGGGACATAGAGGTATGATATCCTCTGTGCTGCTACGTCACTTTTAGGGAAACCTGGGGAATGATATAGGGTAGCTCCAGGGCTTTTGTTTGTTTGTTTGTTTTTGGTTTGGAAAAAGAGGTGCCAGATCTCTCAAGAGGGAAATTACGTTTTCAATCTGTATACTGAAAACTCATGAGCTTTTAAACATTTTAAAAATAATCTTGTTGAAGAGGTTCCGGAACTCTGTGCGTTCCCCCAGAAACAAAGTCCTGGGTAGCTCTAGGAATTGCTGGAAACTCTGTGGTAAAACCAGAATCCTCAGTGATTCTTAGAGCTCTCTGCATCATTTCCAAGTTTTCCCCAGAAGTGATGTAGTGACACACAGGACAATGACATTAAAAGGGGGGGAGAAAATCTCCCCCTTCTGCTTGGCAGGGTATGTAGATGATGGCATATCTACACCCCTCTCTGTTGAAGACTTAAACACCAGTCTTACAGTGCCAGCACCCCAGCAAATACATACATTTACTTCCCCACCCAACAATACTCCATTTCCCTGATTGTGTTTTCAATACCGCAGCTAGGTGCTCAAAAGTGGGAGGAAAAATGCATCAGAATATGTACAGAGTGCCTTTTGCTCACCACTGAACTACTGGAGCATCTTCTTTCTCCATAGAATTCAGAAGGAGGTACTCTCTGAGCACACAGGTTGGATTTCAAGTATCAGGGCTGAACCTGTAATCCTTTCCTTCTCCTCACAACAAATATGGTACTTGATTCCTCTCCCCCCCGCTTCCCCTCACTTGTCCCAATTATTTCCCCCCTTCCTTTCTTTATTACTAGCACAGTAGAAGACAGTCCACTTTCATTAATGTATCAGTAAATTAAAGAGAGAAGAGCCAACACCAGCATTTATCCTGTTCTCTATACTTTCAAGTTTCCATTGAAGCTGCAGTTGGCTTTTGCCCAGCCTTGGTGGCTGAGAGAAATGGAAGGAGATAGCCAATAATAAAAGCTCTAATTTGCATTTGAGACTGAAGATTTCCATGAGGAAATCTCAGGGGGTGGGGGAAGTAAATTTTTTTTTTACTTTTTATGGTAGTTTTGTCTTAGTAGGATTTTCAAAGATATATCTGGCCAAAAATATAGGGGTGTATTTTTTGGCATAAAGAGTTTTATATACAGGTTGAGGAGCAGGTTCCTTGCAATGCCTACTCTGAGTTTCAGAATGAAGAATAAAATTAAATTGAGAAATTACTTTAAAATCTGGATTGTTAGAGCATAAATATTTTAATGGGGCTGGAATACTCGTTGGCAGTAGCCCAGTACTCAGGCATCTTAGTGAAGAAAACACTCTGATGGCTCCTTACGGGATGCTGTCTCACATGCTGTTCTACCTATGTGGCATGAATTGGACTATACCAAAATAGTATCTGAAAGACAGAAGTGCGTCATAACAAGGCACAGTTGAATGATACAGTTGAAAGAGGGGGGGAAAGAATAAATATTCTTGACTTATGGCACTTGTACACATTTGCCTGGCAAACAAAGGTTCCCCCCCACCCCACATACACACAATAGAGCTTGCAGGTTGACTGTAATGCATGAATGTGGGGCATTGCCTCAGCTGAGCTATGCTTATTCAAATCTGCTGAGGGTCAAACTAGCTGGAGGAAGGGAACAACCAGTGCTGGGGTTACTGTGATTAAGTGGAAGATGGAGAAGGGTTTGGTACCTCCTTCCTCTTGACAGCAGTTCTCTGTGTAAATGCTCCAATCTATTGCATTGAGATGTTTGCCACATACCTTGTAGTTATGCCTTTTAAGAAAACACGAGACGTTGTTGAGAAAGAAACCCATTTATTAAATGCAAAGCAGGTAGTCAAATGTGCTGCATAGCTTTTGATCCAGCAGAGATCCACTCTGCCCTTTTGAAGCCACAAAAACACCTTTTCAACTTAAAACACTAAGATTCATTTGTTTGAACTGTCTTTGGCAGGGCTTGCATGGCAAACCAGGCCCACGGGGACAACGAGGACCAACAGTATGTACTTTGCATTCTTCTCTCCATCTCCCTCCCTCAATGTTATTGCATGCATTTCCATATTAATTCATTTCTTTGCAGTGTTTGAAACGTTGAGCTTTACATTCTGTTGTACTGCAATACACATTTTGTTTAAAAAAAATGAAACATCATGTATATCTTATACTCATTAGGGACCACGTGGGTCAAGAGGCCCTAGAGGCCCAACTGGAAAACCTGGCCCAAAGGTAATTTGACAGAATCTACACACCAGTTTTACAGCTAACGATTCCTATTAATGCTAATGTACATTGCATCTCTGAATTATTATTATTTTTTGCTTCTTTTTCAGGGCACTTCAGGCAACGATGGACCGCCTGGTCCACCAGGTGAAAGGGTATGTAAGGAGTACTTTTTTATTTAATTTGTTGCTCGCTTTTTTCTTATCAGTATCTTCCTTGTATAATTTTTACAGTCATTTTCCTGTGAATCAGAAATGTCCAGGTGTATGGGTGGGAGTATTCAAATATATAAATTGTATATATTCTGTATAAAGTAAACAAAAAAAGAGAAAAAACCCTTTTAAAATATTTTTGAGTTTTTTGATCAGCACTATCTTCAACATTTCATATTAAATTCAATTTTTTCCTGCATTCATTTTTATCTATTTATTACTTTTCATTTTTAAAAATTACCACATCCTAAGCTATTGGAGCAGGTGATTAAAAAACAGGAAAATTGCCACAAATCCATAGCTAGACATTTCTGCTCACTGTACAACACTGAGTAGAATGTGTTGCTTATTGTTAAAGTACAGTTGATTACCAGTCCAGTTAATACAATCTATCATTGTAAAGGCAGATTGTGACTTCCAAGAAGAAGATGGTAGGACCTAATTCACAGGTTCTTGCAGTGGCATCGGTTTGGCATACATAGCTTGTTTACTGCATCACTGGATGTGCCGTATCACGTCATATCAGCATCTGCAACACCCAGAAAAGTTAATGTTGGCTGTGGGATATTTCATATTGTAAAGGTAGCAAGCTTGTAATATGATCCCACCAACAGCTTGTACACCCTGATGGGTGAGAGTGGCTTTCACAAATGGGCATAGCTTTCTGTCAGATCCAGAATTAATCTATTAGATGTCCAGGAATTCAGACAAATCTCCTAGATCAGTTCTGGGTCTGCATCAATCCTCTGTAGGCTCTAATAGACTCCTGATAATGCTGTGACCAACTATACTGCTCCCGGATAGACTGATGCCTACCTGCTAATTTAATCATCCAGGAGCACAGAGGTTCGAGTCCTCAATGAGTGCTGTGACACTGATCTGAAAATATCTAGCAATCTATCACTGTAAAGGCAGATCGTGACTTCCAAGAAGAAAATGGTAGGACCTAATTCACAGGTTCTTCCAGTGGCATCAGTTTGGCATACATAGCTTGTTTACTGCATCACTGGATGTGCTGTATTGTGTCATATCAGCATCTGCAACACCTAGAAAAGTTAATGTTGGCTGTGGGATATTTCATATTGTAAAGGTAGCAAGCTTGTAATATGATCCCACCAACAGCTTGTACACCCTGATGGGTGAGAGTGGCTTTCACAAATGGGCATAGCTTTCTGTCAGATCCAGAATTAATCTATTAGATGTCCAGGAATTGAGACAAATCTCCTAGATCAGTTCTGGGTCTGCATCAATCCTCTGTAGGCTCTAATAGACTCCTGATAATGCTGTGACCAACTATACTGCTCCCGGATAGACTGATGCCTACCTGCTAATTTAATCATCCAGGAGCACAGAGGTTCGAGTCCTCAATGAGTGCTGTGACACTGATCTGAAAATATCTAGGGCAAGCACTTGTATTATGATGTCATGTTATGGGGTGGAATTTACCAGTGGAAAGGACCAGGGTATTTTGGACTTTCTTGGGTCTGTCTCTCAAATTCCCCATAAAAATCATGTTGAACTAGATTCAGTTGCTGCCAGCTCTGTGGACAAATATGAATTCTGTCCTTATTCCTAATCTGGGAACCATATGCTGGCTGTGCAGCCAACTGTGATTTTAATTGTGGGCTCCCTCTGCCATGTCAACTTCTAGGGGATGAATTGATGTTCAGCATGGCTTGAAGATCCCTGAAACACAGAGGGCCAATATGCCAGAGTTGGCACAAGAATCGTGGTTGGTCTTAAGGATGTTTTTGCCCCTCTAGATAGGAGCAAATGAGCATACAGTTCTGCTTATGACTGCCTGTCAGTCTTGATCCATACTCCTGCCAATTATCTAAATAGGCTAAGGACAAAACCATCTCAGAGCTGCATTGGAACTTTACAGATGGTGCACTTTGCCCAAACGTTTGCCCCACCCAGCCCTCGATTACAATGTGTGGTTCAATTTCTCTCCGAAGCCCTGTATTTACACTTCCTCATGGTGCCATTTATCTGCTTTCAGTTGCTGTCTGTATCTGAACTAGAACAACCCCAGAGAAGTCCTATTGGGAATGAGTCCAGCTCACTTGCTGCCATTTAAAATTAACAAGATCATATACCAGAAAAGCTTGAAGTTGCTCCCCTAGAACTAATTGTATCACCCTGTTGTGCTCCTTGTGTTACTTTAATCCAGGCTGCAGCTGACAGTACTCTGACTACCTACAGAAAATGACAATGAGCCATTTGCAGGAGATTTCTCCATTCTGTATTCAGTTTATTCCATCCCACTCAAGTACTAACAAAACACTCTCATCTTTTTCATAAACATCTCTACCCTATAGTGAATGGTATGTGATTTTTGCATTAGTATGCAAAGGTAAACATCTAAGCCCTGATTTTAAAAAAAGTGTTTCACAAAAGCAATGCTAATACTTTTATCTGGGAAGCTTTCAACTTATGCAGAGAAATGTGTAAGAAATCCATGAGAAATACAGCTCATAGTTAATAAACTACTCATCTCTTTTCAACCCGGTCCATAAGCATCATCCATATGGTCCCAGAGGCAGTCCCTGTGCTTTGTAATCCCTCTTGGCAATGAAAGTCCTGCTGGGAGACTGGTAGTTGAGAAGAATAGTAGCTGATACAGCTAAAGTGCATTAAGAGTACACCTAAAAATATACAAGTAGGAGTGACATGTAACATGTGTTTGCAAGTATGTGCATCATACTTGGCTACAGCTTCCTTTTTACCATACACATGGTGGTCTCATTCTCTGTGATGAGTGAAAAATGTCCCCTGTAGGTAAATTGTGGGAGATAGGGTTAAAAATAAAATAAAAACCACACATGCTTGTTTGCACTCGGCCAGCAGTATGAAATAGTTATTAGGAGAGAGAGCTTTTGCCCTTAATAGCTAATAGTATACATTTGTTTATTCATTTATTTCAATAAATGGCAAGAAGTTGAGATTAATCATTAGAAAAAGTCTGGGTTCCCTCAAAAGCACAAATGTTTACCTAATCCAAAGTAACATCTGCTATTTTAAAAAAACCCAGAAGTATAATTTTGTATGATGGAGTTATATACTGTCATTTATAATTATTACTTGCTATAGGCCTCCTTGCAGATACTCTTATGGAGAGGTGGGATATATATGTTTTAAATAAATATGTTTTCATAGTTATATCCTCCCCCATTTATTTAATATAACTTTGTACAGTGTGGTATACCACAGAGAATTATGGGATTTTCCCCTCCTCCATGAATCTTCTTTTTCATCTGTATCCACAAACATATAAACTCTGATTTTGGTCGGGGAAAGAAACTGAGGGGAATGGGTAACTGATAAGAAACAGTAAAGGGAATCCATAGAACTGAGAAACTGTATTTGGTACGCAGGAAGTCTTGAACAGGGAAATGTTTTTGTGGTCCCCTTAGCAGTAAGTATCCACGTACTCTTGACTGAGGCTGTTCACAAAAAAAGCAAATTCCCCCCTAAAATACCTCGTTTTAGACGGCCATTTTCAATCCATATGTTCTTAACCTTTCAATCTGTGATCACTGAAATAAATATTTTTTTAAAAAAACAACAACAACAACACCACAGTAATGAACCATGAGATCCTGGTATTGACCAGAGCTTTGTTTTCCGATGAGGCATCAGTTTGAGGGTCCCGAATCAGTAATACATTTTCAAGTAAAAATTGAGGGTGTTTCCCACCCCCCTTCATTAAAATAGGTTATAATTTGATAATCAGAAATGGAAGAGGAAGTAATGTACAAACAAGAGAGAAATCTGATTGTCTACAACATGTAGTCTTGTTTCAGAATAAGCACCAAAACAGGCTGCTAACATTCATTGAACTTTTTAAAAAATTAGATATTTAGACATCTCCTCCTTTAAGGTGATTTTAACTTCAGGGTTGTTGGGTTTTTTCTTTGTATGCGGTCTTCTATGCCTTCATTTGTTTTCAGCTGTACTGCTGTCAGCTGGGTATAGGAACTGTAGATAGTATTACAAAACCTCTTCTGAGCAGCCACCTGGCTGAGCATGAACCATATATAAATGATAATCACAATTTAGCAGGATACAGGCTCATTTTTTGTCTCCTCGTGCATGCAGAATGCTTTCTTTCAGAATGTTTTCCCATACATTTCTCCAGTTCCAAGAGACAGCTGTAAATATGGCTTTCTCCATGCATTTAATTGAATTCCAGATTCAAGGGAGAAGAGTTTAAAGGATTTTGAGATGGTGTTCTTAGGATTGGCCCTTCCATAAAGCAAGGTAGAGTAATTGCTTAAGGGCAGAAGAAGAAGGTGGCAGACTGTAGTTGCCAACCTTCAGATCTGTGTGTCATTTTTTAAAACAAATGAGTTGAAGAATCCCCCCCACCCATTTCTGGGAGGGGCTGTGGTTTAGTGGTACAGCACATGCCTTTCAACCAGAAGTTCCCATGTTCAGCCTGTGGAATGTTCAGTTAAAGGATCTCAGATATCAGCAACAACCTTTTTGTGCCTGAGTGAAATTCTGCTGGAACTTGTGGGCACTCAATGAAATTGCTGAGCAGTCAGGTTAGCACAGATAAAAGGAAGTACTTTTTCACCCAAAGAGTGATTAAGACATGGAATTCACTACCACAGGAGGTGGTGGTGGCTACAAGCATGGATGACTTCAAGAGGGAATTAGATAAACATATGGAACAAAGATCCATCAGTGGCTATTAGCCACAAGGTATAGATAGGAACTCTGTGGCAAATGATGCTCTGTATTCTTGGTGCTGGGGGAGCAACAGTGGGAGAGCTTCTAGTGTCCTGGCCCCACTAATTGACCTCCTGATGACACCTGGTATTTTTGGCCACTGTGTGACAGAGTGTTGGACTGGATGGGCCATTGGCCTGATCCAACATTGGCTTCTCTTATGTTCTTATGGCTAATACAGGGGGAGACTAGGGGTTTGAATCCCAGGGTCCTGGTCACTTTGAGGACTCATGGAGCTGGGCAGGTCATGTGATTTGTTTTCAGGGGATGTTTTGATATGAAGAGGACAGATAGAATCTTTGTCAGGTATCTGTGGTGGTTCTTGACAGAGCTATTGCTGGTCAGACTTGGTGGACATATTGTTCTCAGATATGATTAGAGACCACATTATGCTGAAATTAAGCAGTTATGGATATTATCGGTGCTAGAATAAATGACTGCCTGAGAATCCTTTGGAAGACACCTTAAATTATTTGATGGAAGAAATTTAGATATAAAATATAATAAATAAAATGCAATTGACTTTTCTCATATGAGCATATTACCTTAGGTGTGTGAAATGTCTTAAGGTTTATTCCAAGTACTCTTTATTTCCTGGATCCTGGTTTGTCACTGAAATTACTAACATAATTTTGGCAGCTGATACCATATAAAAACTAGAGATCGGTGCTAGGATAAAAGACTCCCTGAGAATCCTTTGGAAGACACCTTAAATTCTTTGATGGAAGAAATTTAGATATGTCCCGCCCCTTGTAATAAATAAAATGCAATTGACTTTTCTCATATGAGCATATTACCTTAGGTGTGTGAAATGTCTTAAGGTTTATTCCAAGTACTCTTTATTTCCTGGATCCTGGTTTGTCACTGAAATTACTAACATAATTTTGGCAGCTGATACCATATAAAAACTAGAGATCTCTCACCAAATGGAAATAGACAAATCTTGTGTTGTGCCCTCAGTATAAAGGCATTTAGCCTATGACTGTACCTTTCTGTGTTTCAGTGTCCTTGCAGTAACAAAAATATTTTCCACTGTTAGTTTTTTCTCCACTCATTTATTAATGTATTGATTTTAATATATTTTTACAGATTTTAGTTACACATTATTGCTTGTGGATAGTAATATGGCATTTGTCGTGCATTATTTGACAATAGTTTGCAGTAAACGGATAGTTTATTATCAGATTTTGCTATATTTTTAAAACTGTTTGGGCACTTGCCTAACATAGAAGTGATTTACAGTGTAATCCTAAACAGAGTTATGCTTCTCAATGTCCATTGAAATTTCTGCATTGGTTTGTTCTGCTATAAATGTAAATAAATACATGGCATCGCAACATTTTCTGTAAAATGTTTGGACTGCCCCCATGGTGGCAGTAACAGGGATAGTAATGGCATTAATAATAATAACATTTGCATTTGATTGTTTTATTGATATTAGGGACCACAAGGGCCTCAGGGGCCAGTTGGCTTCCCTGGACCAAAGGGACCTCCTGTAAGTATTTTCTTTTCTTTCTTTTTTAATGCAGCAGCTATGTGGCCAGCAAGGCATAGAATGTGATGGAAATAAACCCTAATGATTAAGAATTATTTATCAGTACATTAGGTGGCCTTGGCAAGGCTTAAAATTCGAGAAAGTAGTTTAAAATATTTATATGAAGAACAGCCAATAGAAGTAAGCTAAATCTTTTGTTCCAAATCCCTTCACCCTAGTGTACATGTGTATGTTCAAACACATATATCAGGCCGAACACATAACTATAACTGATGCAAAACATGGTTCAAGCTTTTGAGCTCACCAAACCTGTCTATCAGGCTACAAGTTTCAAAATTTAAAAAGATAGAGGTGTAAGAAGCAGATTTCTGGGCCATGATGATGTCAATGACTGCCAGCCCAATCCTGTGCCTGTTTACTAAGAAGTGAGTTGGAATTATTTTCAGCAAAACTTCATATCCATTAACTATGCATATGATTGCAATTTAGGTGTGTAGTGAAGGAAAGGGGAAGGGTGGATCTCTGGTTGTACCGCCCAAGAGCAGTCATGCAGAGGTGATGCTTGTAAGAACCAGTGCCTCTTCCTGGGTGGCTTGTTCACATGGCTGTTGGTTTGCAGTTGCCTCTTTTCACAATATCATTGTAAATGGTCCCTGCTTTGAGACAGCAGGTCTCACTAACAGTACCTGTCTGGGTGCTACCTGTCTGCGAAACATAGGAGGTATGAAGGAGAATCACTTGTGAAGAATGTAGCAATTGTCCCATACCAGGCATTCTGTGTGTATCACGTGAATAGCTATTCCAGAATCAGCTCAGAGAAGCTCAACCATGAGCCAAGTGGCAGAGCACATTAGATGATTTCCCCCCCTAGGATATAAAAGTATTTAAAATCGTGGAGTGACAGCCCAGGGCCAACAGAAGATGTGCTTTGTATCCAATAGTGAGTGGAGAAATGAATTCAGACATGAAATTAGCCTGAAGCAGTTCTCTGTTTAGTGAGTGTAGCTCAAAATGGGCAAGTTTTGCAATGTAACTAAGATTAGAAAAAAATGTTTGCTGAGAAACATGGTAATGGCACTAGAAAATGATTGACAAACAACAAAATTGTATAGATAAAAATCAAGATACGAAAGCTGAATGACAGAATCCTGCAGCTATAGTATGTAAAATGGCTCTTATTGATGCTGCTTCTTTTTGCCATTGTTGCCATCAAAGTTGAAATCCTCCCTTTGTCACTTTGTGTGTTATGTCATACAATATGATAGCACACTGCTGTAAATGTTGTGTGCGCTCTGAATAAAGTTATTGCAGGCTAAGGTAAGATATTGGGAATTTTCTACATTCGGCAGAGTGAATCTCTCTGCTTGATGACCTGAGGCCACTAGAGGTCACTCTCTATCTCTGTTATGTCAATCGTAACAAAAAAAAAGTGTAGAAATTAATGGGAAAGTACGCAATCTTCTCTTGGCAGACTATCACCAAAATGCATGTGCTACACACACTGACTAGGTTATTGACTTTAAAATGCTGTATTCATAAATGAAGCTGAAGCATTCACTGACTTGGAATAACGTGTAGCCTCTCAAAACTTTTAGGGTCCCATTTGCGGCATTGATCAGTTTTGTTCAAATCAATAGGCTTCGCTGTTTCTTTCTCCGTAATGCAATTCTTTTGGAAGAAAGAGAAACCTCTTTTAAGTCCCTCTTCTAGATGAGTTAGCACTGGTGTGTTGGATGGGTCTGTAGCCAGCCTGAAATTATATTGATCCAACAGCCATTTGCTCTGACTGTATTTGGGTTGCAGAATGGCATTATGAGAACTATTTTTGTAGTCTCGTTTAATACTAGCTTTTGGAATTTATATGGCCAGTGAACCCATGGCTTAGTGGTAGACCATCTGTTCTGCATGTAGACAGCCCCAGGTTTAATCCTTGACATCCCAGATAAAATGATCAGATTGCAGGTGACATAAAAGTCTGTTCTTTTCCTGAGAACCTGGAGAGCCATTGCCATTTAGAACCGACAGTTTTGACCACTGTCTGTGACTCTTTATGAGGCTGCTTTGTACATTCATGTATGTGTATATCATCGTAATACAGAAGGAAACACCATTTAGAACCCTGCAAGGGGAAGGAATGCAGTAGGCTGTGGATGCAATTTAAAGATGAAAAGCGGTAGCTGGAGAGAGGGTTAAATGCACACCTATCCTATTGCTTCTTACTTCTACATCTCTCCCTTCTGAAGCAGGGTTTTTCCCTTTTAAAAAAAAGATGGAGCTCACACTAACTCAGCTTAGAGGGAACACTGGCCCTGAGCATCAGCCAATCCTCAGGAAAAATGAAGTGAAGTGTGTGTGTGGGTGGGAATTGGCAGAAATCACTTCCCCCTCTTGTGTAAATGGAAATACAATTCCTTTGGGAGAACTGCATGGTGGGAAAAATACCAAGGGATTCTGAGTAGTGTTATAAAATTTGCTAAACAATCCTAAATTTATACAAATTTTATTATATTTGTTTCATTTACAAATGTGTGAGGAGATCAAGCTGGAAGAAAGTGATGCCTGTCGTAGGCATCTACCATCTGATTCCCAGAGAGAACAGCATCAATCCTCAGGAAAAGTGAAGTGAAGTGTGGGGGGGAGAATTTGGCAGAAATCACTTCTCCCTCTTGTGTAAATGGAAATACAGTTCCTTTGGGAGACCTGCATGGTGGGAAAAATACCAAGGGATTCTGGGTAGTGTTATAAAATTTGCTATACATCTGAAATTTATACAAATTTTATTATATTTGTTTCATTTACAAATGTGTGAGGAGATCAAGCTGGAAGAAAGTGACGCCTGTCATAGGCAGCAAGACAGCTAATCTACCATCTGATTCCCAGAGAGAACAGCTGTTTCACCCCTCCCCTTTCCCTGCATAAACCTGTCCAGCCGCTTACAGTACAATTCTATTGTAGCTCAAAAAGGAAAAGAAAACTGCTCATCCTTCTTTCTGATTCTCTGGGTTTTCCCATTCAAACTTTACCCTTCTCACTGTTAAGAAAGGATGTTTCTTAAGAGTTCTAGTAATAAGTACCCATTCAGAAAGTATCAACTAATTATCCCAACCATGAACATGCAAACAGCTCATAAAGCTGCAGTAGCAGTACACATGAAAGAAAGCTTGTTATGGAGTATAGCCACAATTGCTAGGCATGATGGCATCATCTTTTCAAAACCAGAAATGTCTGTGAGACTTCCCTCCCCCCTTTCTTATTGTAGGGTCCTCCTGGGAAGGATGGTTTGCCTGGACATCCAGGACAGCGAGGTGAAACTGTAAGTGGACTCATATTGTTTTATATGATATTGTTATTGAAATGCATGTAATAAATGTGAATGGAACATTCTTCTGTTGCTTAATGAACTGGGAGAGAGACCTTATTCCCAGTGTATTAGAAACTTGGGCATTTTAAAGACCTCCCGAGCACCTGAATTTTCATTAATTGTTGCTTTTTCTGGGTGATTTCACACATGCATAGTCAACTACTTCATGGTTTAATGTGAAGGAGCCATTGCAGTTCTGAAAATGCTTCAAGCAGTACTTCTCAATGGGAGGAGTTTTGGGTAGGGATGATCGCAAACTGGGATAATGCACTTTAGTTCAGTTTGTGCTTCCTGGCATGCCTGGTTCACCAACCATGAACCATCACAAACTTTTAGGGGCTAAATGAACTGGTTTGGTTTGTGAGGTTCGTGACTTGATAGAATACTCCCTGGTGTGCTAGAGACACCAAACTCAAAGTGCTTTTTGGTGAAATGACCATCTGGGCTCAATAGAACAACTCGATAAACTTCAGCTAACTTTCTTTCACAAAATACTTGCTTTACCACCATGCATAGCTTCCATAGTTGTATGATTTGAACTGGGCCTTCCAAATATTTCAAGATTGGAAAGCCATAGTCAGTTTTAAGTACAAACTGTCAAATTCCAAAGATCTCCCAGTTTTCACCATATCAGCAGCTCATGAGCACCGTTAGTCAAAATGGAATAGAACTGTGGACATGAAAGCAGACCAGCATTACATATAAAGAAGCTGCTTAAACAGCACTGGTACTCTCTCCAAGAAGACACTGCATAGAAATGCCCCTGCTCCATCTGGGAATTAAATGCTCTACACAATTTGATCTGCCTCACTACCTCAATATGCTGGCAGTTCCAAAACTGAAGCAGTCATATATGATCACACACTGTAATGTACTGCCAACAGCCCAGATGAAGGGCCATTTCCTTAAGATACCTCCAGACCAGCACTTTTGTGACTGTCCTTTGGCAGTGGTTGATTCATTGTCCCATACCTTTTTCTACTGTCCAAAGTACGCAACAGCCAGAGAGGGATTTCTTAGAAAATTGCTACTGAAGTACTTGACCATTCCTGATACTTCAAGATTAAGACTACTTCTGAGTAGCCTCTGCAAAAGCTATATTGTGGATGTGGCAAACTTTTGTTTTACTGTGATTTTTAATTCTTAAAATTGGTTTTATAGTGTATGGGCTGTTAAAACATGAATAAACTGAACTGGAGGGCAGGTAGACAGGAGTCAGTTGGAGTTCCCTAGCGAGTTTGGTGTCTCTAGATTCCACAGGATCCATTCTATACACTCTTGAATCTCCTGAACCTGAACCTGTCAAATGACCACCTGCCTAAGTTGCTAGTACACTTGACTAGCTTAAGTTCATGCAGTTCCATCATTCACACAGCCTCTATATTTAATTCTGTATATTCAGTAGATTTGATACGGACAAAGAAAAGCCTGTTAACCTACAGGTGGGCACAGGTGATTGCATTGGTGGTGAGATGGAGGTTTTAAAAGAGGCTGGTACAATAGAATTATCATTTCCTGCAGTGTGCATTTCTCACACACATTTTGTCTGACTCACAGTGTCATATCTGATTAAACTGTCATATCTGCTGAACTTAGCATGTCCATGGTGATTACATCATTTGTGCCACCTCTGTGCTTAGTTCTGCATATTTCATACATTGGCCTTGAACAGGAAAAAAAAAGCTTGTATAAGTGCTATGAATGTGAACACTAATGATGACTGCATGCATCATATGTTATGACCATACCCCCCTCAATTCTCTGAGAGAAAAAGAAACCTGTTGTATGCCTCCAGCCTTTAGCTTATGCTTTAACACACACATTATTGATTAGGTCCTGAAACAGATTGCTGCTTTCCACAAAGAAGTCATAGATATTCCCCAAAAGAGTTCCACAGCCCCTTTTCCACTGTGATTGTCACTAGCTGATGGGGAAACAAGTTACTGAGGTAACTAACAGAAAGCAACTCTTTATGCAGATTTGTAACAGTGGTCAGAGGAAACAGTAGGAAGAATGGCCTGGAGAATAGTCTGAAAACTCATCCTGTAGTTATGTTGCTGAAGGCAGACAGACCTGACCACTTATTACAGAAATAGCACAAGGCACTGTAGACACACTTTGGAAAATCTCAGGTTTCATCCAAACCTCCACAAGGTTCAAAAGAAACACTGAGATATAGAAGTGAAGGAACGATGCAATTATTTCTCTTTCATCGTATTGTACATCACCCCTTATATAGTAAGGGAAATCCCAATTAACCATATGTTGTATATTCCCAACTATTAGGGCACAGATAGGCTTCAGCATCAAAGATGGACAAGCAATAGGAGAAATAGATGGTTTTCAAGTAAACCAGCAGTGGAGAGGTTGCCCAAGCCTTCCACCACCCACCACTTTCCCACCTGTAATGCTTTTGGCTCTTCCACTTTGCCGTACAAAATGTGCTAAATGTACACCTGGAACCCTGGGTTGAAAGGGGTTAGGGAAAGTCATTGCAGTTGAGAAGGACAGTTCTCTCCTGCATGCTGCTCTTTTTCTTTTTTCCTTGCAAATTGTAGTGTCTCTCCCTGCCACTTTCACCTTTTGTCACTGGACTATGGTTCTCAGGCCTATGTCTGTCAGTTCTTTCCTGAGAAGAAAACAGGGCAGTTTGGTGAAAGGAGAGTCTCCATGTGACCATTAGAGCAGGAGCTTTTGGGATATGGCAATTCTCAAAATGTCTAGGAAGACATTTTATAGGCACACAGAAGAATATACCTGAGAGAATATTGTGTACACACATATATACATTTTATATAATACACTGTTCCATAGTATTGCTGATTGCTTTCTTTCAAATAGCTGAGTTGCCACAAGGCTATAGGGTCCATCTTCTGGTGGTGGCTCCAGTAGATTTGTATGAAAATACCTCAAAACTAGAGTAGAACTGAACTTTCCCTGAAGCAAAATTTCAACGCAAAACTGTGGCACAATACGTGAGGAATGATGATGAAGCTTACAGAATTTTGATGAGACCAATGAATTTCCCCAAGGTGTCCCTCATACCCATGCCTAAGAGCCTTAGAAACATGTAATCTAAGTTGCTAGTACACTTGACAAACGGGAGACCCCCATGCATCTTGATCTGCTGTTCCTTCACCTCCGCACTCATCTTTGCCACTTTCCCAATCAATTTTCTTTCCCCTCTCCTTTAACTAATAATTTGTCTGCCTTTCCTGGTTGATTTTCATGTATTTCTGCATAGCACTATTTGCTTGTCTGCTTTTAACACAACTGCCTGAATGTCTGCAACATATATTTGAATTGAGCTCTGAGCTCATTTATGCAATCAGAGTCATCCAATCAGTTTGATAAAGTGTGATCTGTGAAACTGACACTTCGAACCACACCACTGGATGAACTAACCTCAGAATGACTGGAAATGATAGCTCTCTGAAAGAGACTTCAGTATTCTATGTTTAAGTGTGCACACTGATAATGAAACAGCAATCCTTATTCTTAGAGAAGATTAATGCCCTGAGAGTACTCTTTGCTTGTCACATGTTCAACAGTAATATAGAAATCTGTGTAATATGCAAAAGTACGATATTATAACCACATTTATTTCTTCCACAGGGATTCCAAGGGAAAACTGGCCCACCAGGCCCTGGTGGAGTTGTTGGACCTCAGGTACATTGTATCATCTAACTTTACCTTTGTAGACCTTTACCTTTGTCTCCTTTCTCCATGGTCGGGGACAGAGAGTGGCGCTGGGCGAGAGGGTCTCCCCGTGGTACCCACTAGAATGTGGAGTGCCGCAGGGCGTGATCCTCTTGCCAATGTTATTTAACATATATATGCACCCCCTCACCCAGTTAATCCAAAGTTATGGGCTAGGCTGCCATCAGTATGCTGATGACACTCAGCTTTATTTGTTAATGGATGGCCATCCATCCTCCGTTCCTGGAAATGTGGCTGAGGCTTTGGATGCTGTGGCTGGATGGTTGCAGCAGAGTCAACTGAAGTTAAATCCATCAAAGACGGAGGTCCTGTACCTGGGTCATGGGGGTTTGGAGGTGGGCACCAGGCTTCCCACCTTGGAAGGGACACCTCTGGTGCCAGCCCAGTCGGTGAGGAGCCTGGGAGTAACACTGGATACCTCCTTATCTATGGAGGCCCAGGTTGCTGCAGTTGCCAGATCTGTATTTTTCCATCTTAGGCAGATCGGGCTACTGAAGCCCTATCTCCCCACCCCCAGGACTTTGCTACGGTGACCCATGCAATGGTCACTTCCAGGCTTGATTACTGCAACTCACTCTATGCAGGCTTACCCTTGAAGTTGATCTGGAAATTACAGCTGGTACAAAATGCAGCGGCACACCTGCTGATGTCGATGCCTGTGCAGGCCCACGTTTGGCATGTTCTCTGTCAGCTGCACTGGTTGCCGGTTGAGTACCAGATCCACTTCAAGGCATTGGTAATTACCTTCAAAGCCTTATACGGCTTGGGACCAACATACCTAAGGGACCGCCTCTTCCCATATATGCCCCGGAGAGCGTTATGCTCTGAGAGTCAACATCTCCTGGTGATCCCTGGCCCAAAGGAAGTCCTTCTAGCCTGGGCAAGGGCTTTTTCTGCCCTGGCCCCCACCTGGTGGAACACGCTCCCTCTTGAGATCAGGGCCCTGCGGGAACTTATGCAATTCTGTAGGGCCTGCAAGATAGAACTGTTCCGCCAGGCCTTTGGCTGAGGCAGCAGGCGTCCACATATGGCCCCTCGGAGGTTGCGGTCTCCCACCTACTGATAACTGGCCATACCTAGTTACATCAATGGGCCAGATTCTCCCTATGACAAGCATGACTACCGATTATATATGTTTTAATGTGTTTAAAATTTTATTGTATTTATTACAATGTTGTAACCAGCCCTGACCCCGTTTACGGGATGGGAGGGATATAGATGCGAAAAATAAATAAATAATAAATAGACAGTGGAAATAACATTTAGTGTGGGTGCCCCTTTCACACAACAGTCCCACAAACGTTGACCCAGGGTACAGCCTAACATATCTATTGAGAAGGTTCTCAATACAATAGTATGTCAGCCTGACATTTACATCTGACCATTTGGCAACATGTTTCTCAAGTAGCCAATATGATGTTTGTTGATTTGCCACTAGGGGTGCTCTAACACCCATCAGCTCTGTTGCAAGCTGGGAGCCAATCCCTGGATTGGCAGTTCTGCTGTTCACAGCTGGCGTGACTCTGTTTGCTGGGCCCCTTGCAACAGTATGGTACAGTATGTACAGTATGGTACCATGCAGTGGAATATATTTTCTCCCTAGGGAGAAAAAGGGAGAGGGTAAGCTGCTTCTCTTGGAGAAGGCCCCTTTCATTTGGAGGAGATGCATGGGCAAGGGCATCAGCTGGAGCAGGCCGGCTGGCTGGACAGCTGGAGCAAGGTCAGGACTATGTCTTGTCCCTTAGCAAATAGCAGTCACTGGCAGAACCCAGCCAAGCAGCTGATGTAGAGCTCTGGTAGACATCGTAATTCTGAGGCTGGAGGTGTGTAGAGGTGCCCCCCCCCAAGCTCTACTTCATGCATATGCACTGTCTATATCTCCTGCAGAGAACATTTCAAGGCAAATCTGAAGGGTTCTACCCAAATGAAACATCCAAAGAATTTGAGGGGAAGACAAAAGAGAGCAGTGAAATTTCCCCACCAGGCCCAGTTATATTTCAGTTATTGTTGATCCAGCTGTACTATGGAAGTTTTCTATCTCTCACCAGTAGTGGATAACCTTTTGGAGTCTGAGAGTGGTAAACAAGCTTTCCACACTCCAGACAAAGTTCATAAGAGTAGGAATGAGTTGCCACCAAATTTCACACGTGTCAGAATTGGAGATACCCACTTGGATGAAAAACAAAATGGGTTTCAGTTAAGCTTAGCAAAATTTTCAAGTTCACACATTCCACTTAGATGCAAACAAAACAGACTTACCAAGCAGAAGTGGTTTTCACATTTTTTTTACTATTCCTTTGTGTATCAAATGTAGTAGTATTCCTTTTGGTATAAGATAGTTAAATACTAGCTAGGACCCCTGAAATGTACTGAACATATCTATTGGAAACACCACTGATTCAGTTTGGAATTAGTGGATCAGATCTTTGCTTAAACATCAGTAAAAGGTAATTAGAGAGGAGAAATATTTCAGGAGAACCTTTACAATCAGAGTCTATGAGATACTGTGATAAGGTGAAAAGTTTCTCGAAAATCCTCTCTGGCAGGCCATTCTACTTGCCTTCTCTCCTTCTGCTGACTATAGGGTATTTTTCAGGAATCACAAAGGATGGCAAGACCAGATACAGTTTATTTTATCAAGCATTTTATTAAATCTTTTTAAAGTTCTTCCCATCTAGCTTAAGCTACAGGCTTCTGAATAAGTTTTCATTTCTTCCAAAACTCCACTGAAGCAAAATAGCAGGGGTCCTTCTGAGTACTAATCTTATCTGAATTACCTTTTGTTTTCCTCTCTGCTTTCACTGACTAAGCTTTGTTTAATATCCAATATGATCATGCTGTGTTTGTGTGGATAAAGATACATGAAATCCTAGCACATTTATATACCCAAGACTGATATTCTCTACATTCCTTTCTATATGAGGTTTTTGTGTTGTTGATGTCTGTTTGTGCTTTTTAAGTACATAGCTGTGGTCTCCAGGGAAGAATCTATGAATTCCACAATTATACATCCAAGCTTACAAAGAACTCAGGCATAAATTTGTACCAAGAGTATTGTTATCGTTCTGTTTTGAGTTTTCCGCTATGGCTGTTTGCTATTTATCTTGGTGGGGGGGGAGTAACTGTAGGAAAGCATAACAATGAAATGCTTTGTCAAATTTTCATTGTATCAGTTTAAAATAGATACTTACCACCAGAAAGACTGTTTAACATATTGAATTATTTGGCTCCTCTTTGCTTCCAGTTGCAAGGCCATTGGCAGTGAGTTGAATAAATTGTGTAGGCACATCTGAAACAATTAGAAGTCCATGCATAAGTAAGCAAGGATTGTTAACCACTTCTAAGAGTTCTTACTTGGTCAGAAAGCATGGACCCTAGCCTTGCTCTTCTTTTATGCCAAGGCAATCGAAACACTGGCAGGTATCCTACCTTAGGCTAGAGGAGATTCTATTGGATGAAGAGCCATTTAATTTGGAGGAAGGCTTCTTAAACTGAAGAAAGGCTTCAAACTTTGTTCAGTGAAGGAGTAGGATACATACCACTTTATCAATGTCAATGAACTTTATACTTCCTCACATTGCACACTAGGATGTGTGCTGTGCCCAACTAGAGCAGCATGCATACTAAGTCCTGGGTATGCAAGCTATTCCTGCCAAGAGTATGACTAACCCCAGGGTTTAAGACAGGCTGAGGCCATTCACTGCTTCCTGAAGACTGGCAAGTGGTGGTAAATGGGGGTTCTTTATCATAGGATGGGCTTCTTTATCTTCATCTCAACTCCTTTTCACCACCCCTTATTGTACACATGGAGCTAATTCAACCTGTCCTTGGCACTAAGTAAGTAGGATTCCATTTTGGTACAATTATGTGTAGGGATTTTAAATACTTGGAGGAAATCAATATAATTGATTTGGCTAGGCAGTTAGTTAAATACATTTTTTCCTGGAATTAAGGTTGTATGTGCTGGTGGCATTGGGGTATATCGGATACTCTAAATGATTAATGATGTTGTATTTTTGGGTTTAGGGCCCCACTGGTGAGACTGGCCCAATTGGTGAAAGAGGTCACCCTGGTCCTCCCGGCCCTCCAGGTGAACAGGGCCTCCCAGGTGCTGCTGGGAAAGAAGGTGCTAAGGTATGAGTATGTTTACTGGATGCATAAAAATCTGTACTGCCCTCAATTATATAATGTGCAGAATGTATGGGTATTTTCCGTATGTCATGACAGTTTGTTACAGCTGCAAAGACATTGTACGGGTTTTGCATCGATTTAAGCAACTTGTGTATTTACTGATTCAGAGAGCATCCACCGACAGAGTGCTAGTTCTTCTCTATGCACCTGCAGATCTTTCTTTACAGAATAATTGTAGTCAGAACAGGGCTTCTCTCAAAGATCTCAACATCTAGGGAGGTTCATGGGAGAAAACATCTAGGGGTGGTTCATGAGGTCATAAGACACATTGACCCAAAGTTTTAAAGGTCTCAAAAGTTCAACAGCATCAAGATTTGGAACATTAACTCCAAAAACAAACACACAGAGATGCATCCAGACACACCTGTAGCATTTTTTGTGGAGTCTGTTCAGTTTTAAAGGTCCTGACCATATCAAACCACTTCCATTTCCTGCCCTGCTTCATCCCATCTCCTTCCCCACCCCCCGAGCTGCTGCTGTTCCAGCTGGCAGTGCCTACTTTTAAAAAAGAAAGACTTGCAGTGTGTCATTATACCTCTGTAGAAGACATTCAAAATGAGAGGGACCTTTTTTTAGAGGAGGGGGTGTCTTGTCCTGTAGTCGAATAGTATGTTTAGCTATTAAATTCTCTGTTCCTCTTTAATACACTGACTACTAATGAACAGCTCCCAGCTGATTAGATAAAGGGGGGATTCATTACAAAGCAGGGCAGGGAAGCTCCAGGCTTGTCTGTCTCTTTCAGACACACGCAAATACAATTCCTGATTCTCTGCAGGATCCAGGACTCTCAAAGGAGCAGGAAAGGAGGGAGTGGAATAAGACAGGATCCCTGATGGTGGCAACTGGAACACTGAATTTCAACCAAAGTGCCTGAGAAGGGTTTTCCTATAACCTAGGATTAGGGACTTGGAATGTGAGACAGGATGACAGGAGGGTGTGTGCGTGAATAAAAGACCTTCTCACCCTCCTGCTGTTACAGTCGCATACCAGAAGAGAATAACACGGGGAGGGAGGGAAGAGGGACACATCCCTGAGGAATGGCAGCTCGCTGACATCCAGCTGGCAGTGCCTACTTTTAAAAAAGAAAGACTTGCAGTGTGTCATTATACATCTGTAGAAGACATTCAAAATGAGAGGGACCTTTTTTTAGAGGAGGGGGTGTCTTGTCCTGTAGTCGAATAGTATGTTTAGCTATTACATTCTCTGTTCCTCTTTAATACACTGACTACTAATGAACAGCTCCCAGCTGATTAGATAAAGGGGGGATTCATTACAAAGCAGGGCAGGGAAGCTCCAGGCTTGTCTGTCTCTTTCAGACACACGCAAATACAATTCCTGATTCTCTGCAGGATCCAGGACTCTCAAAGGAGCAGGAAAGGAGGGAGTGGAATAAGACAGGATCCCTGATGGTGGCAACTGGAACACTGAATTTCAACCAAAGTGCCTGAGAAGGGTTTTCCTATAACCTAGGATTAGGGACTTGGAATGTGAGACAGGATGACAGGAGGGTGTGTGCGTGAATAAAAGACCTTCTCACCCTCCTGCTTAAATAAAGGTCATAACCACAGGGAAAATACAAAGAAAGCCTTTAGTGTGGAAGTGAGCTCTGGTTATCTCTAGATAGTAATCAAGCTACAACATTTTGTATTAGCTGAAGTTTCCAAGTTCTCTTCAGGGGCAGAGTGCGTTAAAGAAGTCTAGTCTCAAGATTACTGGGCGTGGATTCATATAGCCACATATTCTGGTTGGGTCAAGGAAGGGGGCCATTCTTCATGTTAAATAGAGATGCAAGAAAGGCAGCGTTTTTGTGTGTGTCTGAATTAACTTGTTACTGGGTCAAGTATAAACCCATAGTCTTAAACTCATTGTCCATGGCTAAAGACTGACACTAGCCATTCTGTAAAATTGGATAGATTTTGGGTAATACAATATCTTACCTAACCACTTCTGCAATCAAAAGTGGGTGCATTAACCCAATGAAGTCCGTTAACAAAAGGAAGTTTAAGACTGTGTGTTATCAGTTCTCCATCTTAACTGGTAGATAAAAAAGAGTGTTACACTAAAATTTCTCTTTTAAAATGTGGCATTATCCTTGGAACCTTATATTGTAAGAATTTCTGTATTAAAATGGCAGTTAGAATAAAGTGTGCATGACTACTTGACTGAATTACCTGTAGTTGGTTTTTGAAACTGGGTTTGATCATTTTTTTCCCCAGGGGGATCCAGGTCCTCAAGGTATCTCTGGAAAAGATGGACCACCAGGACTTCGTGGTTTCCCAGGAGAAAGAGGATTACCAGGGGCTCAGGTATAGTATTAAGCCCACAACACCTTAACTTCTGTGGAAACAATTCTTACGCAGAGTACTGAGATTAAAACCAAGCACTTATTTATTCATTCATTTATTTAATTCATTCATTTGTGCCTCACCTTTTTCTCCAGTGGGGTCCTAAAGCAGGTTATATCATTCTGCTCTCCTCCATCTTATCCTCATAACAACCCTGTGAGGTAGGTTACACTGAGAGTGTGTGACTGGCCCAATGTCACCCAGCGAGCTTCAATGGCATGACTGGGCATTTGAACCCAGGTCTCCCAGATACTACTCCAACATTCTTTTCTTTTTTTGGCCCCCCGGAGGGGATTTTTTAATTGCATTTTTATAAAGGCTACAAACGACAACAGAAATAGGGAAGGGGACTACATTAAGGGAAAAAGAAAAGATACCCACTACTATCTAAAAGCCCAAGAGGGGAGATCATCTAGTTCGCTTGGCACACGTTATCTCTCAATCATGCTAATCCCATTATGAATTGATTCAACTATAGTATTATCTTTTTCATATCTTAACTATCACTGTTAAGACGAAAGACCCCTAAGCATCTAGTATCAAAGAAAAAAACGTTTTTTCAAAGGCACAATTCAGAGTCCTTCAGCCTTCATTTTCCCTTGCCCAGTCTCTTCTGTAGTTTATAAGGACTTTTAGGGGCGGCTGCCCCTTTCTCTGATAGAGAGTCCTCTTCGGAAGACCCCGAGTCCAGCTCGTTGCTGGATTTACTGTCCATCCCTTCTTTTTCTTCCTCCTCTGACTCTCCCATCTGGAGTCTCAAAAATGTCTGTGCTTTCTGACCAGAGTCAATCTTTTCCTTTTAATCCTTAATTTTGAAGATCAGGCCTTCTGGTGTTAGCCATTTGTATCCAATTGCATTTGTCTGGAGAAAAAGAATTAAATCTTTGTACTTCTTTCTCCTTTGTCTTATTTCAAATGGAATGTCTTTTAGGATTCTGATAGCATTATCTCCAACTTTCAAAGGAGCTCCAGATGCCACTTTCAAGATTGCATCCCTCACACATCTCTTCGAGAATCTTATCACTATTTCCCCAGGCAGATTGTTTTTCTTTATATATCCTGAATATGACCTGTAGGCCACATCCATAT